GAAATCTGCCACTGTTCTTTTCAAGACAGATCTGGTTGCCTGTAAGCGTGTGAAATAAATAAATAGCTGCTAAAGACACACAGTGTGTGTGTGTGTGTGTGTGTCGTATATTCCTCTCTTCATGACTGTACACTACTAGAGAGCACAAGTCGTGTTGCAATCCTCAGAGAAACCTCAGGCCGATGTGCTTCCACTGCGCTCCCTTACGTGATTGCATTTCCCTCTCCAACGATTTGGACATTTTCTTTCGCCATTACTCAAATCGTGGCAGATTTGAAGTCATCAGCATGCGACGGCGGCGTGAACTCGGTCCGTGTGTATTACGTTGCTGTAATCGGATGTCGCCAATGAGCTTTTTTGGGGAAACAGTGTTAAATAATACCCGTGCTCATTAACTGAGGCAAAAGTGCAAAAACAAGAAAGGAGCCGCGAGAAACAATCGCATCTAAACACAAGCAAATCAAGCGGGCGGCCTTCATGTCGGCTCCTCTGTTTTTCTGCTCCGCACGTGCACGAACACAGAAAGCGAGAAACAAATTGCCTTTCTCAATAGCCGCAACGTTGCTGCACAACAGAATTACCTTCCGAAAGGCCATGGGAGAGGCAAAACAATTTCCTGACAAGTGCAAAAGACAGTGTGTGCAAATGAGGGGGGGTTGAGAGACAAAGAATATTATCATGCACGGCCAGTGGGTTGTCTGGGAAGCTCTAATTGGAAGTAATTTTGCACTCAGCTCTGATGAAGCTAATGGAAGCAGAGGTATGGTATCGCAGGCTGGCACCTTTCTCTTTTGATTAGCTTGAATCTGCGGAAGCCGGGCGCGTCTTCTGTTGCCTCTTCAATGCCTCTGCTGTCAGGAGCGGGAAAGGCAGCGGAGGTCAGAATGGAGAAGTCACGACCGTCGGAAAACTGGTGACACACCGACTCCGCCACGGGCCGCGGGGAAGATGGAACCCCATTATCTCCTCCCCTCCTCGTCCCTCCACACGAGGCGAAGACACGAAGACGCCTCGCAATCAATGGGCTTTAATCACGTCCATTTTCCCTCAATGAAGAGGAGCAAATGTCTCAAGCTCAATTGCCTCTAATAACATCGAAAGGGAGCGAGATGTTCAAATGGGGACAGACGTAAGGGTCGTGAGTTCATCACGCTTTATAATTTTACACCGCGTTGCCATTAGGAAAGGGTCTGTGAGACGGTTTGGGCTGCAAACATGATCGTGCGTAAAAAGCCCCATGAACCAGACGTGTGCTAAGTGCTAGTAATCGCCAACGTGCATCCAGCAGACGAGGAGCAACGTTCGCATTCATTCAACCCGAATGAAAGGAAAGCTAAGATCACAGAACACGTCTCATTGCATTTCCTATCACACATCGGCGTGAGGAGACCCAAAGCGAAGGCCTATTTCCCCCCAAAAAAGGAGAGCTTTTGTGGGGCGTCATACATACAAAAAATTAACTTGCTCTTTCAAATGTGATTTGCTGAAAATGCGACGTCCATTAAACGCACACGTTAACCTAAAAGGGTTTTAAAAAACCCAAAGCTGCAGAGTTTGCTGTCCCTGTATCACATGCAAAACGCAGCGTGTGGGAACCTCGGTGTGTGAACTTGCTGAGGTGCTGAGAGGGTGAACTGTGTTCATTTCGGGACCTACTGAGATCTTTTGAGTCTCTTTGAGTTGGCTGCAAAAACACAGCAGCGTTTAAAGGAGAGATCGTTTGTGCGACGGCAGCATCCTCCGTCTGCCAGCCGGCCTCCCGAGGGGCAAATCTGTCTTCTCAGGGAAGGTCTTCTCTCCCGTGGCGATGGAGCGCCTGGGGGAGCTCCACCAATGCAGGAACTGCATCACGCACCTATTCTGAAGAGCTATTTTCAGATGACTGCGCGGACCATCTTTCAATCTATCAAAGGCCTCTCCAATCTTACCCGCAGGTTTTTTTTTTTTTTGCTTATTATCTCTGAATGTCTCTGAATAAAATATGCAGAAAAGTTCCTCTCGAGAGGCTTCAGAGGAAGCGGAGCTTGCGTTCCTCTGGGGACCTTGTGTGGCGGAGAGGAGATGGCTCACTAGATATCTCTCTCTTATCGGATCTTATCAGCCGATGAGTGATCTCGCCTCTCCAGCCGGACGCCAAAGTCGGCCTGAAGGTCGCGGCTCAGAGCTCAGAGGATGCCGCTCTTTGACAAAGAGGCCCAAAAAAAATCACGTTCGCACACCTGAAGCTGTTGTCGCCCTGCTGAATAATTCACGCGAAGATGACGCCGCGGCGTCACTTACTCTCTCCTCCTCCGAAACCCGGACACGCCGAGCCGAATTTTGAGTCCTTTCCAGCGAGCTGCTTTTACTTTTCTTTTCCAATCTCTCTCGCTCTCTCAGCCTTCATGTTGCGAGTTATTCCCCCAAAGTGCACAAGATTGTTATGCCCGAGAGAGTGTCTTTCAAAGTGGTTATGGCCCATGCAGGACTTGTCTGGCAGTGCCAGTAATGACGGGGAAAGGCTCCCTCTGGGGCGACTTTTCCCTCGAAATTACCCGCCATTACTTTTACATCTCTCGTTCAGATCGTCTGTTTCGTGAGTCGAGGCGTAGTCGCGCTGACCCTGGCCGACTCGTGCACGGCGTCTTCGTCCCAGGCTGGGTGACTACGCATGTGAGATCCATAATGAGGGAGACAGTGGAAGAACGGCAGAGCGATCGCTGGGCTCTGAGGGATCGTTGGAGCGCGATCGCATTGTTGCTCGTCGAGGCTCAGTTTTGGCGACGGGTTTTCCATCGGAGTCAATTGAAAGTTGAAGCCGTTTGAAAGTCAGATCCTGGGAGCAAACGCAGAAATACCTCAATAAAAATGTACTTAATTACAAGTTAGTTCAAAATTGCAGTAAAGTTAAAGTAAAATTGTAATATCAGCAAAACGTAATTTCTTATTAAAGGGCTAATTAGGCAGAATTGCCCCTAGCAGCAACATAATCATGTTTTTAACATTGTTTCTGGGTTTTCTATAGAGATTAGCAAACTTTAGAGGAGGACTGGATCGGTAATTTTGCCCCAAAAGCCCCGAGGTCACCGTGTGCTGATTGGCTCCTGGTATTTTTCATTTTACTGTAAAGGTTTCTTTTAGGAATTTGGGAGTATAAATGACTGCCAGGACAAGGGCTTTCACACGGGTCCCGATTGTGCCGTCTGATACACAAACCCGACCTTCATCGTTCCTTGAGATTACTTTGCGCTCAGCCGCTAATTAGTTTTTCATCAAAGCTCCGCACAACAAACCTCGGGGCGAAACCAGGAATACTGCACATGTTGCACAAGGAGGAGAGGAAGGGGGGATGAACAGGTGGCGCGTTTTTCCCCCTCGGGCCCCCCCTCAGCGAGGCAACCTGGATCCGTTGTCAATGTACAAGAGTAAATCGTCTTGGTGCATCGATCAGACGTTTTACGGTTAAATCTCAATCTGGGAAGGTGGAAGCATACCGGCGAACGGGGACTGATTGCGTGTTTAGATTTACTAAACTGTCGACTCTTTCCGCTCTCGCAATGTTGTGTTTTGTTTGACGATGTGGGGGAAGACAGGTGCTCACAGCGCTAAACATAGACATTGTTTAAAGGAGACCATCATTAGGTAATTCTCTTTTAATTAGCAGCGGTGCTCAGAGAGAGAAAGCAAACACACACACACAGGTTTAATTCGGATACGGTGTTTTTTTTCCGGGCTCTAATGGGGGCAAACACATTACTCCCAAACAGTAGTTTTATTGAGGGATTCGTGGACCAGTTTCACGCTTCAAACCACAGGAACAAATGGGCTCTGCTTGGATACAGAGGCAATTGCAGCTGTTAGGCTGTTAAATAGTTTGCTCTGGTTTTATTTTGGGAGTCATCTCGATGGGACCTGTGGAAGCACAGCTGCTTTTCTGGCACCAATGGAAAGTGTTTCATCAAACAAAGTTTTCATTTGAAATACAGCAAACGCACATCAGAAGCTGCACACTGGCCTCCGAGACGGATTATTTATTTAACTCTCTTCGGCTTCACGTCACGCCGTTTTTTTTTTTTACTGCCAAACATCAAAAGAGGCGCGAAAGCGAACAGTGAGGAGCGTATAAATAACTCAAACCGTGACCTGGTTTTATTAATAGCCGCTCAACGACATGCATGTTTTAAAAGAGTCCAACGAGGGGCTCGTGTTGTGGAGGGAATTCCGGTGAAGTGCTGCTGCAGTGATAAACTACACTTATGCATCTACTTATATATTTCATGTTTTATTATTGATGCCCTGGGTGAATGTGTATGCACGCGCACGCGCACGTATAACAGCTCCAGTGAGACACAAAGACGCTCGGAGCCGCGGCGCGGTAATGACCACGTGGTCCCGGAAGGCCGGACAGCTTCACGCGGGGAGCTGCCAGCAGGTGTTTCACGCGCTCGCGGTGAGTGCGGCGCACGAGGGGAAACTACCGAGAGAGCGCGAGCACGAGGAGGGCGTGGCCGCGGAGGCGTGCGCGCGGGAAGCCGCTCGCTTAAACACACGCCAGGGTGCCATCTGTTTAAAGGTAATATTAAGGGGAAAGTGTGAGGACTTTTTTTTTTTTTTTAATTAACCCCCGAAGGATATGAGTCGAGTCTGAAAAATACACAGCAATTCAAAATGATTTTCTCCTGACTAATAATAATTAATAACAATTATATTAGCTTTTTTTACCATGAGAACGTTCTGTGGATATTGTTGAACAGTATTCGAAAACAGTTTTACATTTGGATGTCAATGTTTTACTGTAAATAAATATATTTGTATACTCATGTTTTACAGCCGCTATGATCAATATTTCTGTCAACGCATAAAGAGCTTGTGTGAAAGGCGTCTCTTGTAATAACTTTATGGTTTTCTTGGGCCACAGCTTTGCTGTTTTGACAGATTTACGGTCATCTGCTTTCAGCGAGAAAGCTCTAGAAATCAGAACAGTACGACAAATATAGTGCAAGGGAACTATTACAGAAATATTAAATTCAGAAAACATTTTAATAAAATGTGACGGTACAAATCAATTTATTCCTCCGAACGCAAATACAGCCAAACTTGTTCAGAGGGGATCAAAAGAAACACTTTTTTTTTTTTTTTTTTTTTAAACAAAAAAGGAAACTAGGGTTTTATACAGAGGGCTTTCAAGAAAAACAATCATCGGCTATTTCTCAACGACAAAAAAAAGGCTTTGTTTAAAAATAAATGACCTCGGACTTCTGGTTCACGGAAAGTGTGACTCCTTCGGTCAAAGCGTTCATGGTCGTCATGGTGATCACCCAAAGCTCTTCTCTTTCCCCGGGTTACTTTGTCACACGTCGCCGGCGAGATACTTTAAAAAGCTTGATGACCGTTTCTGTGGGTCAAAGTGACACTGTCGCAGAAAAATAACTTAATGATAAATGCGAAGAGGACAGAATTGGGTGGGGGGCACTGACCGCTGCCTCAGGCGAGCCACACAGTGACGAATAATGCTGGGAAGCAGTCAGTTACCTTTGAGTTACGATTTGGTTTATGTGGGAATACAGATACAATCTGGAGGGACGTACTTGGCCACAAAATACTGTGTTTGTGTGTAATGGAGGGTAGTGAACAGAATAACAGGCCAAACGGGAGATCCGGTGAATATGGAGACAACGGATGGATGGATGGACAGATGGGGGGTATTTCATGCAGCCGACCGCCGACGGATGACAAACGCTCCCCTCTGCAGCTGTCCCAGGTAGATCCTCATCTTCGTACTGTCGCTCGTCTTCCTCACCCAGATCTGGAGGGCAGAGAGCGGACATTTAGAAACATGCCACCTTCGTGTTCAACCCCAAAACAACGTTCCCCTCGCACCACACAGCACTCACCTCATTGGTCCCCACTGAGCTGATGACACAGCTGATCTTTGTGTTGTCCTTTGACTCCAGGTAGATGGCCTGGCTCTTGTGGTACCTGTCGGCAGGAAAACACCACAAACAAACCACTGCGGGTGAGAAATGAGAGCTGGGCGTGAGGCAGGACAGGTTCCTCAAGGGGAGTAGACAGCATTTCTCTTGAGATGGCACCAAACAGATAAGTGGACAGGAAATGTTCCTTATTTTATCTAATTGGCGCCACACAGTGGGACCGATCCGCGGGAGGAGACTGAAGACCGACGCTTCTGATTATTAAGGACCCACCAAAGGCTTTACCGGTCTAAGAAGCATAAGAAGAAAAATAAGATAAGAAAAAACAAGACTTCACAGCAGCTCTCAACTCTCTGTGTGCATCAGCAGCTAATAAGACCGAGTGCCATTACCCTTCTTCACACGACCTTATGTTCTGACACACGTCTGACGCAGAGCTCTGCTCTCAAACAAAAAGGTCATGAGAGCCGCGTGTGGTCAAGGATTCCCATTCTCTTTATCTCTGCATCGCTCTGATTCTAATGCAACCACCGTCTCTGAATATGCATTTATGTTTTTATTGTGGCTTCAAGCACCGGCGCTGAACAAATGCCTCTTTCTGTAGCGTGGAACAGAAAGAAAGGTCGCAATCAAAAGAAGAAAGAAAAAAAGGATCGTCCCTTTGAAGAACCGGAGAGAACCGCCAGAGACGTCCAACGCGTGGCAACGTGTCCCTCTAGTGGTGAGGGTGGGGGGGGGGAGCGGGATTGAGACGTCACTTCAGAGTGAAAGGCGGCAGGAACGCACCATCGTTTGTCGTAGTAGAGCTTCCCCTCCTCGATGCGGGCCTCGTAGCGCTGGGAGGGGCTCTCCATGGGGGCGGAGGGGACGTGCTCCGGGGACGAGGGAGACACTGAGAGGGAGAAGAAAAACAAGCACTATAGGCCGCACTTAAAAGCCTTCAACTTTCTCAAAAAACGACAGTGCGCCTTATAATCTGCAGCGCCTTATATTTGCATTAATTCTGGTTTTGCTTACTGACCTCTAAGCAATTTTGTGTGGTAGAAGGCGCCAAGTCAAAATGTTTTAGTGCGGCTTTGTTATACTACAAAGCCGCGCCGCTTGCCGCATTACGGCGACCGTAGCCAGGGTCGGGGATGCCTGGGCTAAGATATCGGTCTCAACTGTGGTCCGAGCTTTCACGAAGACCGGAGTCGTCACTGAACTGCCGGCTAACAGCAGCGACACTGACTCGGATAACGACGAGAGGAATTCGGGCATGTTGAATGCCGTAATCGCCCAACTGTCAAACTCGGGACACTGAAGGTGAAGAATTTGAAGGATTTGTGGAAGAGGAATAAACTGGAAAGGTGAGTGTATTGTGTTGTATTTTACGTGTTATAACTGAACAATTTGGAGAACAACTCAATGACAATTTATGCCCCTTTAAGTACTGAATGCATTGTGCTTTAACTGCTGAAGACGAGCATCGACGTACCTGGTCGTTTTGGTGATTTAAGCTGTAAAAGAAGGCGCAAAAACGTTACAAGACATAATTGGAGGAAAATACTAATCATGCACAGTATCGAGCAACACTTACCTTATTAAGTGTTCTTAAATCTTCCATAATCTGATCATCTGTTAACAAATAATTTAGCTGAGGTTTGAAGAGTTAAGGATGGCATTTTTCAACACTGTGTAGCTGACAAAACATATCCCTTCATATTCAAAACGTATCTTCAGATAATGAAAGTGTTACACGTACAAGTAATACTGTACTTTTACAATTTAAAGAGAGACTCAAGGTCTACGTGAAGGATATCTGGTGCAGGTTTTCTCCGTTTGTCGGGTATTGGGACGGGATCGTTGGGCCGTCTCCTCAGCTTCCGGGTCATGATGGGTTTCACCTCCATCGAATCTATGTGCGGGCAAAAAACAGCAAACTGAGATCCAACAATAACACACAAACCTAGGAAAGCACAACCTTTGTGGTTCATGAAAAACAAACACAGCACAATAAAAGTCCAAAAGAGCCGACATCAGCATCTGAAATGATCTCAGCGGCTTTAAATCGGACAATTAAACATTCAAATGTGTTGAGAATAGTTCTCACTCCCAATCACCGCTTCTGCAGAGCGATTCCCCGATTAATGATCTCTTACCGCCTGTCAGCTCCATTGTTAATTTTTCGTTCTCGATCATCTTTTTCTTCTCTTCCAACTCTGCAATTAAGTTTTCCTTCAGCTCAACCTTTTTATCGTCAAACTCTTTGACCGCTGCCTTCTTCTCCTTGATGTAATTCCTCTCCACCTGCTCCGTCTGCACGAGGACGAGAAACGGAAGAGAGGTTTAATCGCAAGATCAGAACAACTTGACTGTATAGAAACTACATCGGTGAGGAAGGAAGAATTATTATTAGTTGTGCTCACCTCAAGTTGGAGAAACAGATCTGTAAAGGGAACAAAATGAATATATTTTACAAACAGATAATATGGACTCGGTGCTTTAAATTCTGGCACAAAGAAAAAGATGAGAGTGCTTTTAGACAAAAAGTTGATCTTTACGTTTACTAAATGATGAGGTCTGGGTTTACTTCATTAATCCTCTCGTCACTTGTTTTGTTTGCCTTGAATGCTTCTTTAGTCACACTGTCAATCTCAATCCACCTGTCGACGTTGCACCAAATGACTGATAAAAAATAAAACTAGATGGCTTCACTATCGTTTAATTTGAGAAGAAAAGAAGAGACGCTAAATACAGAAAAACACAACATGTGCATTAGTACCAACACTAATATTTGTAAATCCATAAGCTCTTGGATTCGGGACGTTTTTCTTTTTTTTCTCTTCTATTTCCCATCTGCCAGCTGTTTATTTGCAGCATAAAGTTTTAGCATTGTTCTCCACTGGCAACGAGGAAAGAAGTTAAAGTTCTCCCAGATCGTAGAAATGTTCTGAATGCAGCGGAAGCGAAGCACAGTGTGGTTCGTCTCTCAATACTTGCCGGCATTTCGTAGCCTCTCTTTGTACTGCTGGTCGAGCTTCTTCATCCTCTTCTGATACTCCTGCAGCGTCCCTGCAAAGAGCGAGTGTAAAACACCCCAAATAAAGATGCAGAGAATCATTACTTTTGCTTTAGGATTTTCATGGTATTGTCATAATACGACTAAAGAATCTCTAATGAAAATAAACACCAATCAATGATCACTAAGATCCCATCCGGCGAGGTGAAGAGAAGCAGTCGATTCCTGACACACAAAAAGTGGATTACCTTCTTGTAGTTGCAGCAACTGTCTTTTCAGAGATGCCAGCTTGTCTTGGTACATTCTGCAACAATATAAAAACGCAGAGCTGAAACCACAAAACTTTAAAAACTCTCAACACCTTTTCATTAAAGTTAAAACAGCTGATCCACAATCGACAAACACTCACTGCTCTTTGATTTCCACATAGTCGTCCTCGTCGTGCTTGGCGAGGTCCGTCTCACTGGCATCTTCCGTGTCTGGAACAAGGTGGTGACAGGAGAACAATTTACATCCAAAAAGCAAAAGTCCTTCTCGCCTAAACATCTAAAAGCCGAAGTTCTGTTTACTCAAGAAGCTGACACACGTGCTCCTTTCCGCGTGCTCGACCACCACGTCGTTATGCGGCTTCTGTCTTAAACGTCAGTCGAGGGACGTGCGTGGCACCGGTGAGGTAATGGTGAACACCCCCGGTTGGTTGGGATAGGACACCGGGGGGGGGACGAGCTTGTCCGGGATGATCGTGCATTATTTATTCTCGGGTCGACAGCAGGATGGAGTTTAGCTTGACAAGGCGAATCCTCGATGAGAGGCTTCATTAGCTGCTCGTTGGAGTCTCTCGCATTTGCCGCATGGTGGAGATTAGTCCGAAAACGGTGCCCGGCTAACTTCGTACCGTCCGTCCGACGCGGCGGCGGCTCTCCCCGGTGCGAAGCTAGCACGCTTATGCTAATGTGATGTGGCAAACCCGAGAGGGCCGAGTTAATACGCGCCGGTTAACCCGGGTCAGACAGTGTCACCTTCTAAAAAAATAAAAAAAAACCGAGAAGGGCAGGGCCCGGTCGCGTTAAGCTGACACGGCAGCTTTCTTTTTCGGTTAGCATGAACGTGCTAGCTCGGGTTAGCTCGGGCTCGCTGTTAAACAGTAACGCGGTTCTCGCGCAGCCGGCCACAGCGGCACCGTCGACATTCCCGGAGGAGGTAAAAAAAAATAATAAGTCCAGCTGGTCGCTCGGAAGTAAATGTCAGCGAACTAGCTAACCTGGTAGTGCTGTCATCGCCTCTCGTCTTTCCTCTCGCCGCTATCCGTCCCGTCTCATTGAATGGTGTGAAGGGGGCAGTGCGGCGGTCACGGCGCGCAGGGGTTCGCCTGCCTCGCCGACCTGTCAATGCTCGATGCTAACGTTGCGTAGCTACTCGGCTAATGTGACGCCGTGTAACCCGTTTGGAAGACGTTTGAGCACAACCGCTTTCGCCCAGGTGAGCTGCGGCATAGCCGAAGCTAACGGCACGGATTTAATGTGCAATAATGTAAGGCGAAATTACGCCGTTAAAGCAGGGTTTGATACTCTAAAGTAACGTCAGTATAAACGCTGGCTAACTTTACTTTAGCTTTTAAACCGATTTAAGTTTCTCATTATTGTCTGTAGCCGTTGGCACAATTTTTCTAATGAGCACCGGTGACGCTGAACCGGTTTTAGCAGCGTTAGCTAACGCTAGTTTGCACCACCCGCTCCTGGCATGTTCATCGAAGGGGCAGGGACCTGATCGTCGGTGGTGGGATAACGTTAGCTAACTTGTTATGTAGCATGTAAGCTAACTTGTTATGTAGCATGCAAGCTAACTGCGTGTGACTACGGCTAGCGGTCTCGTTTAGGGTGCAGGCGGACCGAATTTAAGGTTAGAAATGCAAATTCGAACCGTTTTAAATCGTTTGAAGTCTGTAGAATTCTTCAAAACGCGAAATTAAAAATCTAGCAGATTAACGTAAATAACCGCGCGCTTCCGTTTCTTTTCCACGAGCAGACAGAGCCCTACTTGTCAGGGAGCTTTGGGTCAATTATTCTAACGTTACCTTCCTCCGAGTCTCTTCCCCTGAAACTTCGGTCATCGTCGTCATCCACGCTGTCAAGTTCTTCCTCGTCGTTGTAATAATCCACCATAGGCGACAGCAAAGTCGAAGCCATTTAATCGCCTGGAAAAATGTAAACAAACACAAATTTAACAATCGATTTGTGTTTTGCAGCTTGCTTGGAACGGCGCCTACAAACTGAAGGACCCCCGACGAACAAGCTGCCTGACTACCCGCCTGTAGACAATGTCAACAGTATTAACGTCCAATATAGATGTATATTATCTCTTCATTTTATATGTCAAATATTTTAAATCATAATGTTGTGATAACGAATACCTAACAATGATTAGCTTGTGTATTTATATACATTGCAATATACATTCAAGTATTTGATCAGGCATGTTGCCGAACATCAGGTCTTGTGGGGGCTCTTTGTTTTGGCTCCCACTTTTCTTGCTTTCCGTTTAGGTTTTCTACACTCTGCGAGGAGTCGCTGCGTGGTCATTTAATAAAATTGAGGTTTTCAAATAAGCCACAACGTACTCTATCCGGTCTCTTTTCCCATCATAGCCAGTGATTAACCACTTCACTCATGAGACATTTTGTGCACTGAAATAGCTGCAAAATGTAGATTGTATATGTGCATATTGTCCTTTAAAAAACAGCCAACGATAACTTATAAAGCACATAATAACTTCAACAACCACAGACGTTACAGGCAGTTACTTTGTTTCAACAGAGCTCCAGTATCACTACTTTCTGAGTAGACGAGCTACCGTTAACTGCGCAGCGGCTCCCGGTAACGTGAGCTGCTCCTTGTGTGTTTGTTATAAATGCGTGTTGGTACATTGACGTTGATGTACATTGAAGAACAGTACAAGTAAGAGGGGCCGTTTAGGACTTAACTACAGTATGTTTGCAGCTGAGTCGCAGCTGCAGTGACGACAAATGCGTCCTTAAGGATGTGTGATGCAGCCTAGCGACTTTTGATTTGAAAATATCCTACTGTGTTTTTTATTTATTATTTTTAATTTCATAAATAAATTGAGCAATGTGTGCTCTTTTATTTTGGTTTGAGCCCCTGCCCCCCAAAATATCTGTGAACATGCCTGCTGTAAACTGTTAACAGTGCATATATTGTTATAGTTTAAAGTAAAAAAAATATATATCTTTAATGTCGTAAATCCTTGCTTTGACTTAGAGGACATCGAGATCAGGATCCATCCTGTGCAGTGAGAAATAGAGAAGAATAATTCTGAGCTTTGTCTGTTCCTTCCTCATTGTTTACACTGTTGGCATCTGTTTTTTTATTCTTCTTGCTTCAACCATCCACAGTTTCAAATTTCATTTCTGACTTTTCAACTGTTTATTATTTTCTTGTTCTTTCTTATTCCCCCTTTTTGTCTTTTTCACGTCAATATCTTTTTAACCTGGTGAAGCAAACACATTAACAGTGAAATGCTGCACATTAATGAAGCAGAAATATTCATCCAAAAACTTCATGTATAACAGTTTCAACTTAAGGCATCATTTTAAAACCCTTTTATTCCTTTTTTTCTTTTCTCTATTATACGCTTCATCCATCCACACTTTCAAATGTATGACTTTCTAACATTTTTTATGATTTTCTTATTGTTTCTTATTTCCCCCCTTTTTTGTTTTTCTTTTAACCTTGTGAAGCAAACACATTCGTCACTACATTCATTCAGATGTTTTTAACTCACCTCACCAAACCTGTTCTTCAGGGAAATTCCTTTCGGGCGTTTAGGCTCAGAAACCTGTTTTATTTCCCTGTGCACACATGTTGAGTCACAGAAAGTGTTCACTTATAAACACAGTCGACACTGAGAGTCTTCAGTTTGTTTCTTGGCATAAAGACGAAGCCGTTTCTTTGACTTAAGCCTTTACTCTACACACACGTTTGGTGCACTCAAAGTCAGAGCATTTGATGTGGAATATTTGATGTTTCCTTATTTTCAAAGGCGTAAACTTGACTATCAAAAATCCACCTTTGTTTTTCAGTTCTCTTTTTATCAACAATATTTAGTTTTCTCTCTTGAACTTCCTATGTTATGATATGTTGACCTAAATTTTCATGAAGAAAAGTATTTCTGTGATGCAAACAACTATTTACAAAAGGCCAGTAACTTTTACAAACTATTATATTTCCCAATTCTGTAACATCGTAAATTCCTCTAACTTCTAAAAATCTTTCATCGTGAATCTTCAAAAAAAATCTTTGGAGAGATCTCACAAGACAGCAGCGCTACAAATATATGATGACCGTAGCTGCAGCTCACCAGTGTTGGTGCACAGTGTCCTTCACCTCTTGTACGTACTTCTACATCTCATCAACCAACACAAACCCAGAATTAAACAATGAGAGGAACACATGATGAGGAATGGAACAGAAAGGTGTAGATGAGAATAAAGTATTTTATTGAGTAGAACTCAGGAAACACGACATCTAAATTTAATTAAAGATACATAAAAATAAGGATGTGATGAATAATTTTTGATTAATCATATTTCCGTATTTAATTTCAGAGATAGATAAGACATAAATAAATGAAAACCTCTCACTTAGAGGTGGATTCACGTGTGATTGTCTCCTAGATTGAATACTGAGAGATGGATAGAAATGTTCTGAGGGATCAGAAATACAGACCTTTTCTACCAGACACTGAACAAAGGTCAGATTGTGGTAAAAACAGTCTGCAACCAAAATGTGTACTTTGTCTCCACCTTGTTGGACTAAAAATAATTAAATTACCCATTTACATTAATTGTATATGTTGAACATTTGTTCAGAAAGATATAACTATAACGTTATTCTGAATCATCAGCAATAAAAACTTTAATCTGCAAATAAAACACCTGAAGTAACCAAACCATTTATTCAAGGAAAATGAACAGTTTGTTATAAAACACAATGAAGAAATCAGGTAAGATGAGGCTTTATGTGGTGACGTGATTTAAAACTAAAACCATTCAATGCAAACTTAACGTTGTTCTTTAGAAAAAAAGTTGTTATACATTTCAAAATAAAATAATCACAGTAAATCTGTTTGTCTGTACCTGAAGGTTATTTACACCAAAAACACTATAACAGTATCCTTCACACACCTAATTCTGCTTATTTAAACTTTAGTTTCTCATTCTTTACTTTGGAAATATGATCAGAACAAAACAACAACATCAAAAAACTATAATAAACTTCCTGATGAATCACTTTGACTTCACCACCTTCACTAAACATCACAGAAGAGTTTGACAGATTTTGATATCAGCAGTTTTGGCGTCACCAGACTCTCCAATATAAAAATATGGGAAGAGTTTCTCAGTGAAAGTGTATCTGTGAGTGCAGATGTGAGTCATGTCTTCAGGGTTGTAGAAGGACACGTCCCCCCTGTCATAGTCCAGCTGGACCTTGATCCTCTGGAGACTCTTCTTCACTCTGACAGTCTGACCAGCTCCATTAGTGTATTTTCCACTGTGAAGAGCTAAATACCAGATTCCACTTTTTGGTGAAGCACCTATCTTTCCCTTCCTGTCAACTGATTCTTTAACCAAACCTACAAGCCAGTAAGGATGGTCTCCCACCTTCACCTCCCAGCTGTGTTTCCCTGAGCTGAAGCCCTCAGAGCCCAGAACATCTGCATACTGCTGGTTTCTGTCTCCATGTCTCACACTGATCAAATCATCAGACAGATAGAGGCTGTATTCTGCAGTGTTTGGGTCCAGAATGACAGGACTGAAGTGGACCTGGTCCTTCATCTTCTCCCAGACTCTGAAGGACAGGTTGCCCAGGTGTTTGGCCACATCTATCAGCGCTCCTGAGACCAGCTGTGGATCTGTCAGTGAGCTCTGGACTCTGGCTCTGGTCTGAGTGGCTTTATAACTGCTGAGGAACGACACCTTGTCTTTCTGCAGGTCTTCTTCAACAGCAGAGATGCTGTCTGACAGAGAGGAGATCTGCTCCTCAATCATCTTCATCTCTCTGCTGATGGTCTTCCCCTTCTGCTCCTCTTCCTCCCTCAGAGCTGCCAGTCTGGACTCCTCTTCCTCTCTCAGGAACTGGTGGAGCTTGTTGAACTCTGCTCTGATCTTCCTCTCTGTGGACACCAGCTGCTTCTTGGAGAGTTGGATCACTTCATTGTATGTTTTCTCCACTTGTTGGTGTTTGTCCCTCTTGTCCTGCAGAGACTCCAAGTCAGATCTCAGCTGGTCCTTCAGGTTCCTGACTGCTTGTTCTAGAGGAACCACCTTGTGACTCTGGTGGAGAGAGATCTCACAGACAGGACACACAGCTTTCTGCTCGTCCTCACAGAACACTTTAGTCTCTTCTCCATGTTCACAACACACCACCTCCACCTTCTTCTCTACTTTTTCTGTCTCAGTTGATCCAGTTTTCTGTCTCCCAGCAAACAAATCAGCCAGTTCCTTCAGTGAAAAATTCACCAAAGGATGATCTTTAGAGGATTTTCTGTTCAGTTGTTCAGGCACAGAAATTTGTTTAATTTCCCTGTGCACACATGGGAGTAACACATTCAGACGGCAAAACGTCTAAAATAGTTGACATCATTGTTATTGTAGCAGTTATTTCAAAAGACAATATTTGATGTTACCTTATGTTTAAAGGTAGAAACATGACTACCAAATATCCACCTTTGCAAACTTAACGTTGTTGTTCTTTAGAAAAAAGTATTTATACATTTAAAAATAAAATGATCACAGTAAATCTACTTGTATGTACTTGTCTGAATATTTACACCAAAAACACTATTTAAACAGTATCCCTCACACACATAGTTCTGCTTATTTATGCTTTAGTTTTTCATTCTTTAATTTAAAAATATTTTCAGAACACAACAACAAACTATAATAAACATGCTGATGAATCACTTTGACTTCACCACCTTCACTGAACATGACAGAGAAACATCAGTTTGACAGATTTTGATATCAGCAGTTTTGGCACCAGACCTTCCAATATAAAAATATGGGAAGAGTTTCTCAGTGAAAGTGTCTCTGTGAGTGTAGATGTGAGTCGTGTCTTCAGGGTTGTAGAAGGACACGTCCCCCCTGTCGTAGTCCAGCTGGACTCTGATCCTCTGGAGTCTCTTCTTCACTCTGACAGTCTGACAGATTCCATTAGTGTATGTTCCACTGCGATAGAATAAACACCAGATTCCATGTTTTGGTGAAGCACCCATCTCTCCCTTCCTGTCAACTGACTCTTTAACCAAACCTACAAGCCAGTAAGGATGGTCTCCCACCTCCACCTCCCAGCTGTGTTTCCCTGAGCTGAAGCCCTCAGAGCCCAGAACATCTGCATACGTAGTGAATCTCTCTGGATTATCAGGAAGCTGCTGGTTTGTGTCTCCACATCTCACACTGGTCAGATCATCAGACAGAGAGAGAAAGTAGTTTGCAGTGTTTGGGTCCAGAATGACAGGACTGAAGTGGACCAGGTCCTTCATCTTCTCCCAGACTCTGAAGGACAGGTTGCCCTGGTGTTTGGCCACATCTATCAGCGCTCCTGAGACCAGCTGTGGATCTGTCAGTGAGCTCTGGACTCTGGCTCTGGTCTGAGTGGCTTTATAACTGCTGAGGAACGACACCTTGTCTTTCTGCAGGTCTTCTTCAACAGCAGAGATGCTGTCTGACAGAGAGGAGATCTGCTCCTCAATCATCTTCATCTCTCTGCTGATGGTCTTCCCCTTCTGCTCCTCTTCCTCCCTCAGAGCTGCCAGTCTGGACTCCTCTTCCTCTCTCAGGAACTGGTGGAGCTTGTTGAAATCTGCTCTGATCTTCCTCTCTGTGGACACCAGCTGCTTCTTGGAGAGTTGGATCACTTCATTGTATGTTTTCTTCACTTGTTGGTGTTTGTCCCTCTTGTCCTGCAGAGACTTCAAGTCAGATCTCAGCTGGTCCTTCAGGTTCCTGACTGCTTGTTCTAGAGGAACCACCTTGTGACGCTGGTGGAGAGAGATCTCACAGACAGGACACACAGCTTTCTGCTCGTCCTCACAGAACCAATGAGGGACTTCTGGATGTTCTTCACACACCACCTCCACCTTCTTCTCTCCTCTTTTTTTTCTCCCAGTTGATCCAGTTTTCTGTCTCCCAGCAAACGAGTCAGCCAGTCCCTTCAGTGGAAAATTCACCCAAATATTATCTTTAGAGGACTTAGTTTTACAGATGGGACAGTTCTTGTTTCCAGCTTTTTTCCAAAATCGCTGCAGGCATCTTGAACAGAAGCTGTGGTTGCAGCTCAGAGACACGGGATCTCTGAACGTCTCTGAACAAACATGGCAGCGCAGGAAACTTTCCAAAACTAAAATCTTCTCAGCCATTTTCTGACTTTTTCAAATAGTTAAAAAAAAACAAAAAAACTCACCAAATAACATTTGCATTAATTTCCAGTCTTTTCTCAGTCCAGGTGGAACATTATTCCAAGGTGTAACGTCGTCGTGTCTCCTTTCAACAATGACAGAATCTGACTTCAAGTTCACCAACCTCCTTCATTGGTTAATCATTGATGGTAATAAATGCTGCTCTTTGTATGAAAGATCAGCAGAAGATTATACTTTATACTCTGCAGTCCCTCCCTCATTAACTGGAACAAGACTTCGGTGCCCTCTGTGTTTTTCTCTGTTTGACTTTTGACAGTTAAAGCTCTGCTTGTTATCATCCTGTTATCTTGACAACTGTACAATCTCATGTACAGTCATAAAGGAGCAAACTATTGTACATTTTGGTATCGGTATGACTTTACTTTCGTTCTTAAAGCCTCTGTAAATATTCAAACTAAACACTATATTTGTTCTTAAGGTGTGTAGGTTTT